TCACGATGAGTGACCCTGATGTGTCACTCGTGCAGTGTCTCACCCCACTGATAACTGATACCTGGGGCTCTGTCACCCAGTATACACCCGGTTATCACAGTGTAGCCACACTTGTCTCTCATGGTTTTATTAGCCTTTCTCCTTGCCTCACACATTAGTGACCTGCTGCTTAGGCTCATAATTAACATGTTTATAGCAGAAGCCTATCGCTGAACATGGGACAGTGAAATTCCTGCTTTTGCTGAGCAACAGCAGGTTTTCCTTCTGCACGAGGGCAATGAACAACTTGGAGCTACATTACTTACCATTCGCAGCAAATCATTTTAAATTGTTAATAATTTGAATGTACAGTATGTAATGCTTTTCATCCTAAAGAATTCTAAAGAGTTTGAAAGCATGTCAGAGCTTGATATCACTGCAAAAAGCTTTCTCAGATTCATCGATTATTGAGAAACTTTTTTAAAATCACTGCTGTTTGTTGTTTTTTCTTTGCAGTTCCAGTTGCTTGTGTGATAGTGGGTTTCTTTTTGGTTGTAATACTCTGTGGAACTAGAATTCTGATACACAGGAAAAGAATCTCTGGAGAGAGCAGGTAACTCTTTTACTGCTGTTATTAACTATACACTCATGTGGAGTACCATGACAGAGTATTACCATTCAACATTGTTCCACAACAGAATACTACCATTCAATATTATAACACAACAGAATACTACTATTCAATTTCATACCTCAGAAGAACACTGCTATTCAACATCATTTCATTACAGAGTACTACCATTCAGAATTACATCTCAAAAGAGTACTGTCATTCAACTTAGTGCCATTCACCAAAAGAAAATCTTTGGGGAATTACAAAACACATGTTTTGAATAAACTTCATTCAAAAAGAATTCAATGCAAATTAGCTATATACTGTACTGTACATACCGCTATTAATAACTGTGTCAACCAACTGTTGCATGAGCTCTCAAAGCTCAGCCAGCTGCAGCTCTGAGCAACGAGTAGCCCTGGCAGTGTCTCACCCCATCCTGCTCTGGAAATGAAAGGGTGTGATGTCTACCATGCCTTCTTTTTGTTTTGTGGGAAGTCTCACTTTACAGTTGGGAATTACCATAGAGGTACAGTAGTATCACAGAAATAATGCCAATCTTGTTATGCTGCTTCTAATTTCAGTATGAAATCACCCAAAGGCAAAGACTTTGAAGCTCCAAGTATTTCACCCCGTAAAGGGACACCATACAAAAGGTAAGACCTGAGCACCACCCTTTGTCTTTGCAGACGTCGTAACAGCATAACAGCAATTTTTAATCGTAATGCTCAATTCCAGATGGAGAATGTAAAAGACAATGGAAACTGGGAACTAGTTTGAAGAGAGAACTGGATTTGATCTCAATACTATATCATTCTTCTAGACCAACGCTCCTCAGTCCTGTTCTGGCAGTAGCACAGATCTTCTGGTTTCGTTGCTTCTGCACTCTTAATTATTTAATTGAATCAAAAATGGACTTAATTGGTCTGAAACTGGGGACTGAAAAAATACTACAATTCTACAGTATATCACTTCTGTATCATTTACATTTAATTTCTCATATTTCAGTTTTTTTGAAGACAGTGTTTTATTGAATTCACAATCTGCAGCACCCAGTTCACAGGGGAAAATATCTGTGAATCTCAGTTCTCTGAGGAAGGGAACTCCATTCAAAGAAAAGATGTAAGACCTTTTGTAGCTTTCCAAATAATCACATTTGTCATTTTTACTTTAGAATTTATTACAATGCAATCAATTTTTATAATTTAACACTTGTTCTTGAGAAAACTTATTTTATAATTGTATTTAAAATGCTACTCAAGCAATTAGGCAATATTAAAGAATTAGCTTAGATTTATGAAATTTAAAAAAAGAAACTTAATGTTGTTAATTTCTATAATAAATTTAGGAACAGTCACAGAAATGCAGTGATGTCCATTCAAGATCAGCTGAAGTGATCTCTTCTCTTTTTCCTGTCTCTGTCACAATGTTCTCTCATTGACCTTACAGCTGGCTCTGTTGAGTCTCTATGAAGGAGATACCCAAAGGTGATAGGGGTGTTGTTTATAATGTTATATGAACAAAATGTTTATTGGTAGTGTTTACATTTTCTTAAATTAAACCAGAATTCCTTGCCTCATGAGATACAATACCAGCAATTCAGACTACTTAATACTACAAACAATATCCTGACAAAAAACAAGTATTATTAGTAAGAATAGGATATCATGCTTTTTAACCATTTAAAATAAACCTTCACCAAATATAAGCATTGAGAGTGTTTTGAATGTGTAACAAGTTACAAGATAATGACAATAAATTAAAAAAGTCCTTAGTAAATGTTACACAAAGAGAACATTATATCAGAATAAAACATGAAGGACATTTATTCTGATTAAAATCAGTAACCGCAGCTCATTTTAATATTTCAGTTGTTTTGAAGACCAGAGTTTATTGAATGAAGAACTGAAGGATCCCAGTTCTCCAAGAAAAGAATCTTTTACTCCCAGTTCTCC